GAGGAAGCATTTAGGAACTAGAGGAAAGTTGTATGTTTCATCACCCTGACTGGCTCATCTCCTCCCCGAGACCCTTCTGTAAGGGGATATCCAGTGGCCTACAAATGGGCTTTGGGTCTCCACTCTGCACTCCCCACTTCATTCACTATGATATGATTATTTTGTTCTGATGATGCCTGATACCTGATCCCTTCGACACTTCATGATCGCTTTCAAATGTATTTATGTTAAACACCATAAATTAACTTTTTCTTCCAATTGCTAGTGTACAGTATCTATCATCTCAATAGACTATATTCTTCACAAACACACCATAAATTCCTTACTTGAAAACTATAAAAAATGAGAGCTCATGCAAATGCATAAACATCACTGTTGACACTGGCATCTAAAGTCTGTAAGGCTGGTATCGGCAGTGCTGGTTATGAATACCGTAAGGCCTGTGCTACTGTCTGGAGGATTTCAGTCCATGTTCTTTCTTCCTGTGTTAGGTGGAATTTCTAATTTGCCCCACTCTTCCACATCTAGTCACCCTCCCCATCAAAAAGAAGTTCAGGGATACAATGTGTTCTGCTATCTTCAAGATTTGAACCACTTAAAGAAATGTTTCACAATTAATAGTTCAGAACTTACGTACACATCTATTTTTTCATTTGTTAGTTCCACTTTCTAGTTGAGATTTTATAGAATAAAGCAAGAGACCTGCAATACGAAGTAAGATCAGTCTCTGTGTAACCGGTAATGTCCTGGAACACAGGAGACCCTAAAAGAGCCTACTTCTTTAATCCCCAACAGGGCATTTTCTGTACAGCTGGTCAAGTAGTTGACAACTGACCTTGCAAATGAAGTGAGAAAGCAAACATATATTACATTGTAATATGAAGATGAAAATATATCTAATGAAGCAAAAGCTGAGTCAGTCTGTAATGCTTCAATTTCCATTGAACATCATTTCTAGAACTAGTGAGCCTAAAATTCTATTGTATGCCAGTAGCTTTAAAACACTTTGTTCATGATCCACAGTAAAAAGCATATTCTACATTGAGAGCTTTTGGAATACACACACACACACACACACACACACACAGAGCTAAATCCAAATTACTATAACAATTACCCTTACTCTGTGAATTCTAATCAGTTATTTTCAAATCCATTCTATTCTAATTATTTTTATTAATAGTGACTGTTACCTTTTCTCTCAAGGATCCCTGGTAGGACAATGACTAACATACTAGGCTGCTAACTGAAAAGCCCACCAGAGCCTTTATTGAAGAAAAGGCCAGGAGCCTAGCTCCCATCATGAATACTGCCTAGGGAACTCTATAGGGTCTCTGTTCTGTAATCAGGAGTCGATTTGAGGGCACAAAACAATAACAAGACCCTCTCTCTGAGTGAATTCAAAAGCCCTGTGGGTGTAGTGATAATGAGTTGGGCTGCGAAGTGCTTGGTCGGCAGTTTGAAACCACCAGCAGCTTCTGTGAGAAAGAGTGGGCTTTCTACTCCCATAAACAGTTATAGCCTCGGAAACCCACAGGGGGTTGCTATGAGTCAACATTGTCAATGGCAGTGAGTTTGGTTTGGTGTGGTAGGGGTGGTGGTGTGGAGCCACAAACCATAAGGTGAGCAGATGAGGCTTGTAAAGAGTCACAGGCTCAGAAAGGCAAATGAGCAGTTCTACTGCATCCTATAGGGTCTCTATGAGTCAAAATAGAGTGGATGGCAGTGATGTGAGTTTTGGCTCTCTAAATTATTTCTGAAAGATGGAGGGATATTGAACAAAGGAAAGGGGGATAAGAGAGAGGACTATGGAAACTTACTCCAATAACAGGGGTTATTTGGCCATTTCAGAAGATACTAGGTTTTCACAAGTGGGGAGAGGACAGAAGTGCCATTGGCATCTAATAGGGAGAAACCACAGATTTTGCTAAGCATCTTAAAATGCACTAGAAAACAACATATGTCAATAATACTGAGGTGGAGACACAAGCAATGGAAGGCCATTATCTGGTTTATAAATAAAGAAACAGATCCAGAGTAGTTAAATTGAGTGGGACAAGGTCGTGTAGTCAGTGAGTGACACAAGCAGAAATCATGCTCCTCTTTGATGCCAGAATTCACACTTATCCCATAAAATCTTCCTGTCAGCAACACACAATACACTTGTGGATTACAATTATTATCATTCACCAGGATGTAGTAAGTGAAATAGCATTGACTACAAATTTGGATGAAAGTCTATATATGTAAAATAATGAAACAGATCCATCGTGACAACTGAATAAAATCAAGACACCAAAATTCCAATAAGCTGAAGATAAGAAACCACTGACTAGCCAAACATATTTCAGAGAAACAAACAAACCCAAAAAAAGTAGACTCAATTATGTAGATGGAAAATGGTATTCTATTATTTAAGGTGAAAAACAGAATCTACTATGTAGAAGTTATGGTATTATGTTCAAGGACCTGGAAAGAATCCTTCTGCAATTATAATATTGCCCAATACTATCCACAGTATATAAACTTGGTTAACACTTCTTATTTGATTACTTAACCTAAATTTGCTTTGCCCATATTTGAAAAGTTATATACAAAACGGTAAGTCAGAAAAGTAGAGAGAAAGAAAGAATCCTGTTTTAAGATACATCTTCTGAGTTACTTCCCCTTGAGACAAGAAAGGCAATGGGGATGACCATCTTTTAAAAGTTTGCTTGTCCTCAAGAGAATGATGTAGCCACATCTAGGGAAATGTGTTTAAATGCCACTAATAAAACTTGTTTCACTCTCAAGAGGTAGTTGTAAATCCCAAGGTCAGATATTTTTTTAAAGCATCTGATTCTCAAATCAGACTGACATCCCCTACCTTCCCCCCAAATAATTAATATAATAAAGCAATGCCAAGATATAGCACAATTAAATCTCTTTCCCCTACTACACTAATCGCTCAATACTACAACGTCTTCCTAACGAATTCTACTTGCATGAGTACTCTCATACAAGAAAGGATTATTTTACTTGGATTTATTCCTCCACAAAGTTCACATTAGAGTAGTATATATATATATAATGTGATGTGTCTTCCTATAATTCATGCTGAATAGGGTTATAAAAATGAGAATATGACTACAATTAATTCTGACTTTTTGTTTCAGGTTTTAACAAGTGAATACTGCATGATCCTGAAACAAAGTATTAGCCCAGAGGATACTAAATACAAAAAGTTTTCAAACAGTACATCGATGCATATCTGGTTTGTTTTCTCTTTAGATATTTACATGGTAAAAGTTAAAGGCATTATTTCAATAAAGGATACCAGAACTACCTCCTAGATAGATCCTCAATGAAGCCACCACTTCATATTCAAAGTTTCTAACTAAAAATTTTTGGTATAGTTTAAAATGATTCTAGCCTGTCTAGCTGATTTTGACTGCTCTTATTTATGCTTCTTGGCTTATAAGAATAAACAGGAAGTAGATGATTCATCAAATGATATTAGAAAATCGTTCAGTGGTACGATGTTAGATGCCCACACATACCTGATACAGTTGGTACACCAAAATCAATTCCCAATTGATGAAAGGGTAAAGGTTCAAAAATAACTGATCAAAACATGAGAAAACAGAGCTCAGTATTTAGAAATTTAGGAATGAATAGAGTTACTAAAATGAGAGCAGAGGAACCCTGGTGGCTTAGAGGATTATACTTTGGGTGGCTCATCACAAATTTAGCAGTTCAAAATCCACCAGAGACAGTCTTAGAAACCCTCCGGGGTAGTGCCCCTCAGTCCTACATGGTCGCTGTGGGTCAGAATTGACTCACTGGCAGTGAGTTTGTTTATTTGATTGCTTTTTGGTAAAATGATTGTGATGGCAAAACTCTCCAAAAATGCTAAGGCTTAGGCATAATGAATTTAATATTTCCAAGTGACCAAAGAAAAATAGTTGATAAATATCAAAATGAGAAATATGTTTAAAACAAATGGCAGTTACATACAGCAAAATCCTGACAATAATAAAAGGCTCTTATTAAGCAATAGGAAAAAAAACACTAAATCCCAATGGGAACAGGTGCTGAGAGAATTGAATGAATGAATAGATAATTCATACAAGATATTAAATGGCCAATGTACACATAAAACATTGAACTTTATAATCAAATTAAAATGGCATAGACATAGTAGTTCTTGTGACCTATTCAATTGGCAAGTGCACTAAGACAGAGCCCAAGCATATTTGGCAAAAGTAGAAAACATTACAGCTTTTTTGAAAAGCAAGTAGAAAACTGCATTAAAAATATAAAGGAGTCCTACCTATGAATATCTATCTGTGAAATAATAAAAAGTATAGGCCAAAAATTATGCATAGATATAGCCATTATACTACCAGTCAGAAACAAAGGTAACACACCCAAACAATGGAATAGTCAAGTTATGATATAAAATTACAATAGAATATTGGTGCAGTCATTTAAACCATATTTCTAAGCAACATCTAGTAACACCTAATACCATGGGGTGGGGGAGCTTATGAAATTAACTGAAAAAATGAGGATATAAAATTATGTAATTTATATATATAGTATGACACCAATTTTACAAACATGTGAAATATACATGCATAGGGTAAAAAGAAATATAGCAAAATGTTAACAGTGGTTATCTGGAAATTCTGAATAATTTGTATTTCATTTTTTTTAATACACTGAGGAAATTAAAAAGATGTTCTGCATGAACACATTCCTTTTATAAATCACCCAAAATAAGTTATTTTTAAAACTGCAGTTCATAGGCATTTCTCAAAGACGTCATTGAGGGAGACAACAAAAAATCCAGAACTGCAAGGCCAAAACAAACCCCCAAACCTACAGCTACAATAACTTTTTAAAATCAGTTGCCTTCTCATACACACGAAGCCCAGAAGGTGTCTTCCCTGTTGAACCAGACCAGAAAACAAAGGCAATGACCGCTAACTCGGGGAGGGGCTGGGCGGCGTGCTTACCTTTCTCACTTACACTCTCACTTTCGATCTCCACGTCGTCGCAGCTGGTGTACTCGGGCGTGGAGGCCAACTCCTCCTCGGAGCTGCTCAGGGACACCTGGCGCATCTTCCCTCCTTTCTTGGACTTATGAGGCTTGGGGGGCGGAGGCCTGACCGACTCGGACTGGTCTGAGCTCAGAGAATCATTCCTTAGCATGGTTTCCATCTTCTCCCGCTTGGTTTTCCGGACCGCCGAGCTGGGGTCCAGGTGGTGCTGCTTCCGCAGGGAGTCGGCGCGCCGCAGGTCCGGCCGGTCCACGGGCAGCGGGCTCCTGCGGGGCGTGGGCGGGCTGTGGTTTGTGGTCCGTGGCGGGTAAGAGCCTGGTCCCTGAGCCTCTCGAGTCCTTTCCATCGAGTAAGATCGTTGGTTTTCCAGAGCAGCCCTCCGTTCAGAGACCGACCTTTGCCGGGAGGGCCGTTCCATCCTCAGCATGGAAAGCCGGGAATCTTCCAATTCCGCATTGGCCAGAGAGACGTCGCTGTGCCTCCTCTCGTGCCGAGCCCGCGACACCTCGGCGTGCATTCGCATCTGTTCTTCATACAGCTGTGGCTTCACCGGGTAACGGGCCAGGTTCGGGTCACTCCGGTAGCGCGCCTGGTACTCCTCCTCTCTCCGCTGTCTCTCGTAGTCATCCCTGCTCTCCGTGTCCTCCTCTGCGTCCACCAGGTACTCTTGGGAACGCCTGGGCCCTCTCCTGTTGGAGTCCCTGTAACTCACATGATCGGATGCTTCGTAAAACGGAGACTCGGGCTGCGATCGCCTGTCAGCATAATCTGATGGAGACCTGGGCATTGCGCTATCGGAAGGAGCATACTGCGGATATTCCTCTCTGTCGTCCCTTTGGTCGTATCTTCTATCGTGTTCTCTGGGCGCTGACGGGCTTCTTTTCCTGGCAATCAAAGGGGAAAGACAAATATGAGGATGGGCAATAATGAAACAGTGTTACGCCTTAATGAGTCATTGGCAGGCTGTTGAATAAACCCAAAATGGTTCCTTTTTCTTTTCTTTTTTCTGACTCATTTTAAAAGCTTGCCGTTGCAAGTGTTTCACTAGGCTTCGTTTCATTCAGTTCAAATATTCCATGTAAGAGGTGTTTTTGCAGTGGTTATGAAACACTTGAGACACTATGAAACATACTCACGCTCTCAAATTAGATAATATCATCTTCAGTTGTAGAAAAATAGTCGGGTCAAGCTTCCTTGTATGGCCTGCTACACTTCAGTTGTCCCCCACTGCTATCCAGGGGTTAGTGGGTTTGAACCTCCAGACCTGTGGTTAGCAGCCCAACATTGACAGTGCCACCAGAGCTACTTTAGTTTCTAATGAACTATGTCAAGGCTTTTTAAAATCATACCTTAAGAAAAGAGAATTTAATAATTTTATATCAAATCCTATATGACTATGTTCTGAACAACACACACACAAACTCAATGCCATCAAGTCAATTCCAACTTCTAGTGACTCTATGTGCTGCCCCTGTGGGTTTCTGAGACTGTCACCCTTCACCAGAGTAGAAAACCTTGTCGTTCTTCTGCAGAGCAGCTGGTGGTTTCAAACTGCTGACTCTGTGGCTAGTAGTCTCAAGCCCAAACACTACACCACCAGGATGTAGAACAGGACTTAGCTATAGAGGTTTTAAGACTTGCCTGAAGCTTGTGAATCATAATGTAAATGCTGAACTGTAGAAAGCTTATGGTCCATCGAAACAGAACAATGACCATGATTTCTGAAACTGAAATGACTATTTTCACATGGTGTCAGGTACCATCAAGTGGGTCCTAATCCACAGAGACCACAGAACAAAATACCGCCTGGGCCGGCACCATCCTCACAGTTCTTATATTTGAGAGCCTATTGCTGCTGCCACTGTGTCAATCGATCTTGTTTGTCTAGGATCGTCTTCTTTTTTGCTGCCCCACCACTTTACCAAACACGATGTCCTTTCCAGGCTCTCGGGACAAGGTGGCCACACTGTGTAAGACAAATTCTTTTTTAAGGAAACTCTTAACATAGACTTAGGTTTTTTAAAAATGTGCTTAATACATAATATAGCATATGAGAGCGATGTTAGAAAGCAAGATAATAGTTTAAGAATAATAGTGTACTCTGAAAATGAATTTGCTGTCAATTATTCCCAAATTAAAAAATTTTTGTTAAAAAAACTATCAATCATATCATGAATTATCTCATATATAAAACTAAAAATCCTGGGTTGAGTCAATTCTGAGTCACAGCGACTACACCAAGCAACATCGTTTAGAAGGCTGTAGATCTTTATGGAAGCAAACTACATCTCTCTCCCACAATGTAGCTGGTGGGTTTCAATAGGTGACCTTTTGGTTAGCAGCCAAGTCCACCAGAGGCTCCTTGTCTTATATATATTCTCCTTTAAATTAAAACTGCTAATATTTCTGAGGCACTACATTCCTTTCAGGAACTGAAGAAAATCCATACAAACCAAGTTACCGTATCTCTAATCACTATCTTGGAAGAAGTACAATCCAAATATGATCCTTAGAAGTGAAGATGGCAAAACTTTTGTTTCTTATCTTTGGTCACATTATCAGGAAGAACTTATTGGTAAAGTTGAGGGGCAGTGGAAATGAGGAAGTCATAGCATTGCAAAAACTAAGAGGGTAGTATAGGATCAGGTTTCAGATAATACAGGGTCAAACAACAACCTTTCTAATCACGATCTTCATCACTGGACATTATACGCAAGCCTTCATCAGATGAAAAACATTTTGTAGGCAAAAGCATATGATGATAATTTGTACATTTCTTTAAAGCATTATAAAGTATTTAACAGTATATAGCCCACAAGTCATAATTTAGTGTAAAATATAAATCTGACATTATATTTAATCCTTCAGAAACCCCAAGATATTAAAAGGTACAATCCAAAATTATCTTTCTTTAGAATAAAATGTTTGTGTGACATCCATGGTGCTTTGCTTTCCATTCATGTACCCTGATATAATAACAACTATATTTATATTCAATTTATAGTCATCTGATATCTATTTATTTTACTTCTCTTTACTTGGATCTAAATTGTCCCAATTATTTTCTCATCACATTAGGGTGGTTTTAACTAAAAACATTTTATGGAAATAACTATTTAAACAAACCAAATCTACCTCAACCAATGGGTTTCTATAGCCGTTGCTCTCATTTTTATGTCTTACGGATGAACTATTCAATGTAGTTTGAAATATTCTCTAATGGCTGCACTGCTTGATCCTCAGCTATATTATAAATGCTATTCTCACTAGCACAACAGAGTTTGAGCAAGATGTTCTACCTATTAATCTCTTAGAAATTCCATGCTAAAAAAATCTTACTAATAGGAAATTAAAAACTTCCTTCCCAATTAAAGGAACTTTTCTCAATTTATGTACTGCATATTAATTTTCATGTTTTCTTTTCATAATTTTCATCTTCTTGCCTTATTTATACCATACAATTTTACCATCTTAGGTGGTTAGTATTATACTACCATCTGTAGTACTGACCATATATACTATGAACTAGTCATCAGACCTCTGAAAATATAATCCAGTAAATATTTGTAACATTTGAATGATTTTCATTAAAAAGTTGTCATTTCTCAAATAATAGAACACAATCTATGCTTTGTAAATCATGGATATTGCTAAATACAAAAAGGCCTAATTAATAAAATTACACAATGCCCAGCACAGTGGAGTTTTAAAGCACCACAAATGACTCAAATTCTAAAATCTGAAGCTGTTAAAATGCAAGATATCAGAGACTTAACAGAATTCTATGTTCCTATAAAATGTGAAATAAGTTCAATGCCTGCAAGTCCCACAAAATACTTAAGAACCAAACAACATATACACATCAAAAACAATAAACAATATAAGCCATTTTTAAAAACATATCAAAACTAACATTTAGTGCAATTTTGGTTTACCTTTTGCTCAACCAGCACACATCTGTCGAGCAGGAAGCATCACGTTGACGAAAATACATCAACACTGTGCCAGGCACGGCTTTCATGTAATCCTTCCAGCTCTAGTAAAAGCATAGGGGCCATCCGTAATCAGATGATTTGCAAAAGTCTCTACTTGGCTAAAATCATTTTGTTTCAAAACTCAGTGTCTAAAAAGTTACTTATAAAGCAACACTTACTGAAGACGGGAGTCATAAAATCCAGCAGTGAAGGCCAGTGATGGAAAGGGTATTCAGTAATGCTGCCCCTATGTGGCTGTATATAGCTCGAGGTCAAGGAAGAGCTACCCTGGAAGGAGGATTATAGTACTTAGCTGATTAGTGCCTCAGTACGAAATGCCAAGTGCAACCTACATCCAAGGCGGTTCTGGCCACTATACTGAAAACTGACAGATTAGAAAGCTATCAATCATGTTCTCCTATACGAATTGCAGTATTTCTAAAATAACAATTTGCTGCACTCATGAGAGGTCAACCTACTGCTCGGCTTTCATTGCAAAGTGTATTGTAATAAGACAATATGGCTGAGAGTGGAAGAGGCCTGTTCCAGAACTTTCTTTCAATGATCCAACAGAAACACCTTCAGTTTTTACTTAAAAGAAAAGTTTCTTCAAAAGTGCAAAGGAGCAGAGCGCAGCGGGGACTGTGGGAAATTAGTAAGAAATCGTGTGCTCACTTTAATGATTGCCCTGCCTCAAACTATCTCTATGTAGTCATCAAAAAAGACGGGAGAATAACACCACCGAATGCATCCTGCCCAAAGCCTAGACAGTAACATTCTACACAAGGATGATATTGACCTAAATCCAAAAACGTTCGCGTAAATGGGGAACATATTAGACGTGTGAGAAGCAGCGGAGGTACGAAAGAACGACGCTAGCTTTTTTGTCCCCCAAATCTCAAGAGCCCCTACCAATGGTGTGCCAGGCATGCAGCAAGTGTTTCTCCTAGAAAGAGTGAGTTCTCCTTCCTGAGATCCCTCAGTAAGACTTGCAAATTAATACAAGAGAAATGCGAGATAAATTCAAAAACCTCATTTTCACAAGAATGCTACATAATAGTAAAATTCAACCTTTTAGACAGTTTCTATCAAACTGAAAAGAAAAAAAACACACTTTTTTTATCCCACAGTGTGCTTTGATTCTCCCAAATTGGCAAGTGGAGAAGTTTTACAAACCCTACAGCTGGGGCTGTAAGACCACACCATTCTCCTGTGTGCGTCTCCTTGCAATCCCTACCGCAGCGAGAGCAGGGTCCTCTTGCAGCACCCTCCATCCAAATGTACAGTGTGCTGTCAGTCAACGTCTGTCTAGCTTCTCTGACTGGTCCACCCCAGACCTTCACTTGTGTCGTTGCTAAAACCACCGCTTTCTCTTTACATGGAGCTCCTTAACTTTTTGATTTCCCTTCTCTCACTCCCCAGTACTTTACCTCTCCTCTCAGCACTATGTTCCTGGTGTTGAACTCATCATTGGTGCATGTCTTCATGTCCTGGACAAGTAGTCCCCACCCACTCAAATTTCTGAGGCCTGATTTTGAGTTAAAAAGGATTTTCCTGAGAACAACTGATTTTACAATTCCTTGAAGGAAGAAGTACAATTTAACAAATGATCCTCTGAATCCTAATCAGTTTAATTTTTATATTATCCATGATAATATTATCAAGTTATATACTTGAAGGATGAAGACTCCGTTTACTAAAATCTCCAGGAAGTGAATTGGTCCCAAACAGTAACCCATGATGCCACTGGCCTCAGCATCTCTCCTGACATTGTTCCTATCCTGCCCACAATAATAAATTGAAGAACTGGACTGGACTCTGCTAGAAGACGATTTAGATCTGTAGCTCGGTCCTTTTTAAGGTGCTCTCGCTGAGTCTCAGGCAGCCTTAGAACAAAAGCCTTAGAAAAT